TTAGCTTGTACCGTCCAAAATCCTGATAAATGTCCCGGTCGGGGAGAGGAGTGTTGCGGGAAAAAATCACAGTACCCTTTTAATATTAATATTGCTCGCAAAGCGAATTATGTTTGATCCTAACATAATTATCTTCCGAAATATAAAAAAACGTATAGACATTATAAGCGACGTCATTTTTTCTTTTACATCATAGCAAATAGTAGTATCTAAGCATTTTATTTATTAGTGTTCTTAGCTTTAATCACCTAAAAATCGCCATGACTTTATCTAGTTTACAGGCTACAGAGGCCATATTTAATATAATAATTTTAATAATAGGCGGTACAGTAATGGCGTTCATCGAACACACGTCACAAGGGCCCGCACACGTCGGGTGGGGATGTGGATAAATTGATGGCCACTCCGCGCAGGTACGCGGGGAGCAACCGAACTCCTTTTAAACATGGCACCCTTGCTCCAATTTTGAAATTTAAATATAATTGGTTGTTCCAAAGGACAATGGCAGGTCCCCATACATAATTTTATTTGAACTGAAATGTTAGCGTTTAAATATCAAAAAATCCTTAACACTTGAGAATTTATTCTTGACCATTCTCATATCAAAATAACTTGCGAAAGAAGTCTAGGAAAAAAGATATTGGATTTTGAATGTTTCGAGGTTAAGTACTAACATATTGTTAATTTTTTGTTTGAAACTAGATGGCGTTGTGTGTCAGATAGCCGAAAATATTATTTTCATTATTATTACAGTATATGAAATAAAAAAAAATAAAAGCATAACATCTATTCGAGTTTAACACTAAATTAAACAAAAATAAAATAACAAACGTGGTGAGTCCGGAACTCGACAGGATCTAAACGACGACGTATCGACATTTTGAAAATATCGATGTATGTCTATTTATGTGCTGTTATCAATGACAATGTATTTTTCTCATCACACTGTGTAGTTGAAAATAACGTAACTATATTTTATTTCTTTAGTGTGTTTAAAATCGTTTAAAGAGAGTCAAAAATATTTTAAATAATTTCGAATTATGTTGATTCAGTCACTCTACCGTACGAGTGAAGACGTGGGCAGAAGCAAATTCATAATCATAATAGGTGAACCTTCGGTAAATATTTCAGCCAAAGCTATAAGAATCGATTATCGATAAAATGTTCCATAATATAGTATTGCCACCCCGCATCCCTAGTCAGTTATACATGATCGCGAATCTGACATTACGTACTTAGGTCAAATAAAATCTTCAAAAATATGTTATCTCTTATAAGACTTATACAACACATGGTGGTGTAATGATAAATCATAGAAAAAATATTGATTAAGTTTACTGTGACTGGATTTTTTAAACGCTTAAGTTTTAGGTAAATATGTTTCTGCCATTGTTCTTTGAACTTTAGGCTTTACATTCGATAAAATACTCATAGTAAGATGATATATTTAATTAAATAAATAATAACATTCTTACCTCTTTAGATGATATTATTACACCAAAAACTCTTACAATAAAGTAATTGTTTCTAAAAAATGTGACGTAACACTTCTACATTTTGTTGAATTTACGTATTCAAATTTTTGATATCATAGGTATGTGCCGTTATTATTTAAAAAATTGTACCCTATGAGTTAGTTGTAATCCCTATAGAATTTGCATACAAATGTAGAGTATGTCCACATTAATCTTATATGCGTTAACGAATGTAATAAAATCCTTACAGGCTGGGGTGGAATCTGAGACAATTTGCCAGGCTCACCCCTTTGTAAGCCCACCTATGCGTCTTTCTTATTGCCGCCTAAATCTTGAATATACAACTAAGATTAATCCCGTTGAAAGAAAGGGTGATATAAGCGATTTTGAGGGATGTTTGTATTGAAAAAAGAACTATCAAAAATGTTCTATATATGAGTCATCAAAACATTGAATCTCAGATTTTAAATCCAAATTTTTAAAATATTTTTTTGGTTAATGTGATAGAAAAGTAATTTTTCAATATTGATACTTTCAGAAAATCTCTATAAGTTCTCAAGTGTAAGTAGCTAGTTTAATGTACGTTTAGCGTCGTTTAATCCAATGTTAACGCCATATCTACGTGTAAAGTTTCGTTTCGTGTCGGTTATTGAGCTTTAATTGCTTTTTTTATTGTCGTGAGAAATATCTAGGTAGTTATAACGACTCCTAGGTGATAATTGTCGGGTTAATTACTGAACCAGATACGAGTTTGTGTATTTTGAGGTGTGGATTTTATGAGGTGCCTACGGCTTAATTAAATTTGATAGATGTGCTTATCGCCTGCTGTAGAGCGTTTACCTTTGAAGTATTATATTCGAGGGTTCGTGAAACAATTAAATTGAATAAACTGCTGTTTAAATATTTTAGTTCCTTTCTTTTCTTTAATTTGTAACAGTATCGTGAAGAGTGATTTTAAGATTTTAAGTCAACCATGTGGCGTCCTGCTGTGTAAAATAGATAATAATCAAGCACATGGCGCGGTCAATCGAAACTAATACTTAGGTAAGAATAATAGTGAAAAGCTAAATGTTGCATGATTCGAACAGTATATGATGAGAGGTATCGTCTAGGATGTAAAATAAAACGTAATTACTAAGTCTATTGTCTTGGCTCACGTACGTAGTACAGCGGTCGATGTTCATTATTTCGACGGTGGAATACTCGCAACCCTTATCAAGGGAAGACGTCCGTTTTTTCTCGGTTTTCCCAAATAATTTATTTAGCGGGCCGCCGTCAATTTATCTCTGTGGGAGCTAATTTCGCGTCGGCCCGGTGGCTGGCTGGCGCATGCTGTAATTCAACAAATTGCGCGTCCTACTGGATTTATGGGCTCTCGTACTTGACGAAGCGCTTGCCGCCCTTCTTCCATTGTTCTTGATACTGTGTTATACTGGTCACCATGTGAAAATAGAATAGAATTCATGTAGGTCTTGTTGGGGGTCATCGCCCGGCTAAATTAGTTTTCGTTTTAGTGCATTCGAAAACAGATTAGGACTTAAACTCGCTGTTTCGTAATGTTTTGTGACAAAAGCGCATGATGTCATAAGATTAATGTGTTGTAGTTTGCTTGCCTATCTTAAGCATTAAATCAATGCATATATACATTGCCGAGGTGTGAGCAGATCCTGTGTGAAACACATAAACTATTATTTGTGTACTTTCGAAAACAGATGAAGTCTAGATGAAGCTAATATGTTGCTTAGTAAGAAAAAAGCTATTTTATCTCTTAGGACACAGTATGTGACCACCCTTATTTCTTCTGCAGTAGTAACACATAATCGTATCAATTATTCGGTTCGCGTCCCTCTTCTTTATTACTTTCCTTGGCTGAGATGGTAGGTGATCCTTTTTGTAGTACTTTGACTTTTTGCGTACTTCCTCGAGTTTATATGTAATGTAGGTGTTTTCTTGTTTATCGTAATAAATTGTGTACTTACTGATTGGAAGGGTGTTTAATCAAACGTAAATAAAATATTTGGCATAAGATAATATAGATAGTTTTTTGTGGTATATCAATGTAAACAAAAATAAGTCATCAGATTTTAAATATTAAGGCAGTTTAGGTCCATAGTTTTATGAAATAATATCAGAGATAAGTTTTTATCTCTGATAATATAGCTGGGTAAGGCAACGCAAGCATGAAGTAAGAACGTTTCTGTTATGTGTTTCTTTCTGCTGACTACGGATCGCCAGACAGTCGTAGCCGTCCCTCGCGCGCTCTGCGCGAATGGGCTATATCAGCAGCAAAGTATTAATATAGAGCGGCTAGCACCAAATACTAAAAAATTTGTGATCTTAACCCTACTTTATAAAAATGTATTCTCACATTAAGTTTTCATTACTTCTGCCTTTTTCGTTTTGTGGATTACAATGATAGAGCTTTTTAGTATCATTAGAGTTACATACCTCTGAGTTTCATAGCGTTTTATACTACTAAGATCGCAAGTAAGCCTATGACTTTCAGTGATTGCAGTCTTTGTATGCCATAAAAATTATGTAGGTACATTAAGGACTTTATAGAATTAAGGTATCTTTTGGTGTAGAGTGGGTATTTACATCGGGTTGGTTTATTTAGATACTAATCGGTCAGCTTCAAATATAATAATTCAAACACAAATATATTGTATTTATACTTTTTATGAACTAATTTACGGGTATTATTCTCAAAAAGAAAACTAAAATTAGTTCATTTTTTCACAAAAAAGTACAAACTGCAAAGATAATAAAGCCTTCAAAACTATGCTTTTTTTACTAACTATGTTTATTCATTCACTGCCACGCCATCCTAATATTTTATTCCTGTTCATTAATAACCATGAGTGAAATAAAGCGGCTTATATGACAGCGTCGACATATTTAATAACACACTTAAACTATATCTGTCACACACGCAACCACTTGGTATAAGTCCACCGTCTTTGTAAATCAGCATATGCAAAGTGGTATAGCAATAAATCTAGCTGCTCTTGCTCGTTCTCGCATCATGTTACATCTTAATTTCAGAGCCGGCTCGACGGAGCCTGCCTGCCAGAGATACAGTCTTTTATCAAATACGCATTACGCTAGAAATTAACTTTAACTGAAAAAAAATCGCCTTTCCGTGAGCGTAAGCGATAAATAATGAAAAGCTGTTAGAATGTTGAGTTTGTTTTAACATGCCCATGGGGCTTGTGCGAAATTATTTGCATTTTAAGTCTGCCCTTGTTTATGAGAATGTATTTCGATCTGATGAAATATTGTTGTACGCTTAAGATTTTAAATTGTTCCATACTAGTACCAAGCGTTCATAAATATTGCTAAAAATGTCATATTTGTCTCCACGGCAAAATACAGAATTTATTTATTTCCAATTATCTTAACTTTATAGAGGTGAACGCAATGTTTTCGTGTAAACATAATCCTGCTTAAAATAGGACACGCATTTGCATTTTTAATTTTTTATGATTGGCGTTTTGATTAATTTCGCTTTTCCTTTTGTTTCAGGTGGCCGTTGCGTGTAGAGCGTTGTCGATTCTTTGGTAGGTCTTAGAGCCCTTATAGCTAAGTTAGCGCGCTCCAACCTTTGTATAGTTCTTGTGATGAATAATGTTACGATTGTTATATGGCACTTCGATGCGGTTTGACGTCGCGAGATCAAGATATCAAAATCGACTCTCAAATAAATTTTTATGCCAACCCACACGAATGCTTAGGCAATCGACTGTCAGAGATTTATTGTCAAAATTTCCCGTTAGTAACGCTTACCGAGCACACTCCGCGTATCACTATTTCACAAATAAAAGAACCAGTCGCGATATCATCGTCGACTATAAATTATACGAAGCTTGGATGGAAAATACGCAATTTGGTCTTAGCTTATTTATCGGTTAGCTTGACTTACATACGAGTACATTATGGTAATAAGGATATGATTTTAAACAGGGGAGTCGATTAATATCAATTGATTAGTGTCGATATGATACTCAACCATGATTTAGGGAGTCGTGGATGTTCACGCTGTATATTCTAAATATAACCATTAGGAAGCATACAGTTATTGTCCGTGCGACATGGCGTTAGTTGTGAGCCTGTCGCTATCTGTCTGGGTGATCTGCTATCATGTTCCATCGGGACGGTGGCTGCTCCACGCTAGGAATAGGTCGAATTCCCGCGTACTGTTCCGTGATATATTGTTCCACATCTCCCTGTATAAATCTTGAACGCCTGCTGAGGTACACGGGACACGGCCGCCGCGCCGCAGCTCTGAGCTTCAAATGGAATTGTGTTTTTATTTATCGTGCGAATCGTGCCCCACTATCACTCACTCGAAATCGCACTTTATCTGCCAAAACGCAGTGTCGAATTGATGTGGGTTTTACAGCTCTTTATGGTTACTATTTGTGTTTATTTTATTTGCAAAACAATGTTATTTACAGTTTCCTTATATTACTTGATACAGTATAGAACTATTAAACTAATTGTGCTCTTGGCGATATATAAATATATATATTTAAAATACGGCAATCCAAAAAGCACATGGGGTGCATATGCAATCACTGCGACAGGGGAATCATATAATATTCATAATGATCTTATAGTAGAATAAGATATTACTACGGAGTCTATAATACTCAATGTTTTGACCAGAAATGAAATTATAGAATATTATAGAAATATTGAATTCGTTGTCGAGAGTTCATCATCCCTAGTCGCAGTGTAAAACAAATTATTCTAATGTAAATATTAAGACTTAGCTTATGTATTTGTAACCGAAATCTGATGTACAACGTCTGTATACGTCTTGAAACGCATAACAGTGATACATTATACAGACTAATTTAAAAAATGTTGCTGGCGCGACGCAAACGGCAAGTACATACTTACCATAATTTTATGTATATTTATGAGATTATGAACTTAATCAATTGAAAATTGAAGACGGATTTTCGTGCCTAACGGTTTTTCTATTAATGTTATTACCTATATATTAAACATTTCGATCTGTTGCGTCCCGCCAGAAGACCTATACGTAAATACAAAAGCTTTAGTGTGAAAAAAAATTCCATTTATTAGTCGATAGCTTAACTTATTCTTAGAAAAATAGTTTACCTAATAGTCACATAAAAATGACATGAATCAAAACTAGTTGTGCCCAGTATACGAATAGCTAATTAATGTTAAGTAATAGATAATGTAATTTATTTTAAGATACAGTAGTGGTAATATTTTTGGATTCCTATAAACATATACGTAATTTTTCTTCAGTATAATTGTAGTGATGTGATTGGAAGTGTAAATTTCGATCGAGGTTCTTTCGGCACATTTATTGTTCATTAATGTTCTTCGAAGTGCCAAATTATTTTTTTATTAATCATCGATTTATCTAATTACCTCTTTATAGTTCCTTTTTTATTATAATTGCTTTTTACAATGTTTTTTTTTTAAATTTAAACAACGATTTAGTAACTGAAACGCCCATGGTGCGTATAAACGATGTGTACTTGACACATGTATGATAAAATATGTACCTCTAAACATATTTTACTCTAATATACTCTGGAAAAGCTTTTTTACTGAAAGAATCTTGGTCCAAGTTTTATTGATAAACTTTTGTTACATATTGTAAATATTATAAACTAATTTATCATGCTTCTCATTAAACACAATATTTTGTTGTACACAATGGAATTCAAAATATGTACACTTGTTTTAATATTTCACAATATATTTTGCGACAATCTGAAAATGATAAGTTTGCCGGTTGAACAAGATCAATATAATTTATTTTAATTCGAAACGTGCTCATGAATGTAATACGTAAATTTGTCTTTTACGAAGCATTTGTCATACGTAAATAGGTAGGCCCAAATTTATTGTAATGTATGATAATTAAAATATAGTAATAAATGAAGAGAAATACTTAAACACTCAAGGGATTATTGTGTAGAGGATGATTTAAATGTTTGTGTTTCATGATTGTAACTGTGTGAAAAGTTGTGTAATACTATATTACTTATCATTACTTATAATTATGAATGAGAAACGATATTATAATTTTTTGTACAATATCGGCTATAGTGCGAGATGGATCTGCATTAAATAAAATTCTGTTACTGTATTATATGATTTTATTTATTTACCAACTACCGTTAAACCCTAAAAAACGTTTTGCTATATTAACAAATGTTAAAATTAGCACTGACACCGGAACACTACAAACATTAAGGTATTCCAATGTGATCCTTCAAAGCTATCTGTATAAATGAGGTGGGAATTACTTTAAATTTCAACATCAAGTTTGGTTTACCTACATTTATTAATACATATAATTTTGTTCATAAAGAAACAGCTCTTTAATTTCTAATAACACTAAGGATTTACGATATGCCAATTTCTCGTGTAGATATACTTCTGCACTGGATTACTGAATATTATAAATGCAAATGTAAATTCCCAATGTTTATTTTAGATTATATTATAGAACATTTTTCTACAAAATATTTCTTATTATTCCTTTCTATTTATATAGGAACCACTCGACCGTAGTCACTGGTTCATTACAGACTGACTAGTATAGTGATGTCTGCTGGTAGGTACTCCTGATACTCCATCAACGCCCCGTATTGTGACAGACGTCACGACCTATTTGGGCTCACAAATAATTTCAGTTCACTTAACTTTGAGTTTCGTTAACAAGGCTCTTACTTATTTGAAAATGCTCCAATCTCAGTTGCATGCAGTACAATTTAAATTCTTCAGTGGTCACTAGCCAGACAAGTGTAGATTCTCGTTATTGGCCAATGAATATAATTTATGTCACTTGATGAAATGTATGAGGTGTGCCGTTCTCATAAATTCATATTATAACTGAGCCCAGTTTCTGCTAGGGACGTTATGATTTTTTCCTCAAAATTCAGATGATTTTTTTGGTAGATGAGATTTCACAAGATTGTAGACAAAAGGTATACGAAATGTAAGATGCAAAGTTCGTGTACCTTTTGTCTACATCTTTTTATATCTAGACTCAGTAACATCACATAAATGGTTGTTATGTATTGTCCAAGTCTTGAATCAGTAGTAATCAGTTGATTATTGACATTCCTTAAGGAATCGATAATATACGAGTAGTTATTCCATTTTAGAAGTTAGAGTTAAGTATAATATACCGTTGAAATAGTAAAATCATATTTTTCGTTCAAATGAGAAAAAGTAAGTTGATGTAACTTACGTCATTGTTTCAAAGTACGAAGGAGGAAATGACTTGTGCAAACATAATATGGTAAATGACTTCGATTTACTATCAAAATAAATTAGTTATGTAGGAAAATAAAAAGACAAAAGTCGAAAAAGAAACTACGGAAAGAGAGGTTAAAAGGCCACAGATCAATCCACTTAAAAAAGAACTATGAATGCCACTGGCATGCAAAATAGTGTTTTTTTCATAATAAATGGTAGTAAAATTTATTTTTATCCGGTTTTGAGTATTACAAACCCTAAAGTATTTATAATAATATTGACAAATGGTTGAAAATCCCTTATGTACGAACATACAATTACACACACATACACGAACACCAAGTATAATAAAGTAGGTAGTGCACGTACTGAGAAAAGTAGTCATGGTGTCGTGCCAAACAGGAAGTTTGCTTGCGAGGCCACTACGGGATGTGGGGTTCGATTCTCTGCTACGGGATTTTAGACTTTATTTATTAACTGCATATATTAAAGATGTTGAAAAATATTTTAGGTTTGGTTTATGCAGGCTCTCAACTTTCGCTATAAAAGCAAAGTTATTGTTTGAGCTGAGAAGATTTTATGAATAATGAGTAGATAATAATAATGGTAAATATTTGTGTTAGGAAATATAATAAATGGCTGCACGGTTGCCTCGCCGCTTTCTACTGCGCTAAGTGTGGTGTTCGATCCCCACATGGGACAACACTTTGTGTTGTTCACAAATTGTTGTTCTAAGTCTGGGTGGTCTTTGTATCCGTTTCATTAATATTTGTAAAGTCCCCCGCGACACAGGATGTATTCCTAATGCGGGAGTTGTCTTTTTAAAAAGAAGAAGAAGAATAAATGTATTTTAAATTTAATTCTATCACCATCATATAAAAAAGTCAAGGAAAACATATTAATTTGCACACGCAAAGTTAAAAACAAATGTTATACATTTAACAAGTGTGAATTAATAACCAAAGTATCATCATCATCAACAGCCTTTAATAGTCCACCAAAGTATACCTAAGTAAAAATTATAAACTTAGTATAAATATTATAAAAATACATTTAAAAGAATGAATGAACATAATATATGTAATGGATATTTAATATAAAATCTAAAAATAAATTAATAACAATCGTGATATAAAAAACAATGGTTTCATGTCATAATGTGCACAAACCAATCGCTACGATTGAGCCCGTTCTCTTTGATAAGTACCTCGGTACATATTATATGAAGCATTGAAGTCCGTATATATGTGGGTACATGTTAGAGAAATCAGAAAGTGTATTTATTACTTTTTTATTCAAATTTTTACAGTCCCA